TCTAAATTGGTCCTGAAGTTAAAGAAGAAGTAGTAGTAGTAAAAGAAGATGATGATGATTAGGAAGAAACAAAAACAACACGGAGGAAACAATAACAAAATGAAAACTTTCTGATCATGACGCAAAAAAAGAAAAAAAAAGGAAAAGAAAGGAGAAAAAAGAAAAAGAAAAAGTGAATTAACCCTCAACACAAAAAAAGAGAGAAAAAAAGAAAAGACAGAAAAGAAACAGAGAAGGAAAACAACCCTGAACAACAACACAAAAACGACAACAAAGCGAAATGAAAATTGAAACGGGGGAAAAAAAAAAAAAAAAACTAACTTCCTTGCCTGTTGGTCATGAAATAAAAAAAGGAAAAGAACAACGATAAGAAAAGAAAAGAAAAAAAAAGAAAGAAAAAAATAACACCAACGACAACAAAACCAAATAAAGAAAATCACATGAACAGCAACGAGACAAAACAACATACCTGTCTATTGGTCTCGAAATTGATCATGGTCCGGTTATGGTACCAGAACACGTACTCTGGCGGCTGAGTGTGGTGTTTGAGTGTGCATGTCAACACCACGGCGCTGCCCTCGTGTACAAATCGTTCATTCCGGCCGAGGATTTCTGCCGAGGCCTCTGCAGGAGGTAATGGGGCTTGACAGGTGACATTAGCATAGGAAAAGGTGCGTTGGGTTGTGTGTGTGTGTGTGTGTGTGTGTGTGTGTGTGTGTGTGTGTGTGTGTGTGTGTGTGTGTGTGTGTGTGTGTGTGTGTGTGTGTGTGTGTGTGTGTGTGTTTGTGTGTGCTAGGGCTATATATATGGGTGTATATGTGTATAACTACAAGTTTGGTTGTATGGTTGTATGTGTGTGTATAGATATAAGTGTGGGTGTGTGATTGTATGTGTGTGTGTGGCTTTAAGTATGGTTGTATGGTTGTACGTGTGTGGGGGCTATAAGTATAGGGGTGTGGTTGTGTATGTATTTATGTTTGTGTGTGTATGGGAATGGATTTGTAGATTTGTGGGTGTGTGGTTGGATGGATGGACTTAAGTATTATGCATTTACGCATGTATGTTTGTATGTATGAATATATAGATGTATGTACGTACGCGTGTATGATGTAGGTATCTATGTATGCATGTATATATGTACATGCAAATCTATTTATTTGTTTAGTCTGTTCCCGGAAAAAAACTCACTTACACGCGCACGCATATACCCGTCCCTTTCTCCCCTTGCACGCAGAATTTCTACACATACATACATACTCATACGAGTGTGTTTATAGATATATATATATTTGTGTGGTGTGTGTGTGTGTGTATGTGTGTGTGTGTGTGTGTGTGTGTGTGTGTGTGTGTGTGTGTGTGTGTGTGTGTGTGTGTGTGTGTGTGTGTGTGTGTGTGTGTGTGTGTGTGTGTGCGTGTGTGTATGCGTGTGTGTGTGTGTGTGTGTGTGTGCGTGTGTGCGTGCGTGTATGCACGCGTGTGTGTGTGCGTATTCATGAACCATTTATAATATACCCATATATATACATATACGCGATCATACTCACATATATGGTCAGATTTCCTATATGCTATACTCATATGTACCTAAGTCCCATAATATATATATGTGTATATATATATATATATATATATATATATATATATATATATATATATATATATATATATATATATATATATATATATATATATACATATATATATATATATATATATATATATATATATATATATATATATATATATATATATATATATATATATATATATATATATATATATATATATATATATATATATATATATATATATATATATATATATATATATATACATATATATATATATATATATATATATAATATATATATATATATATATATATATATATATATATATATATATATATATATATATATATATATATATATATATACACACTATACCCTATATCCACATGTTCTCTTTCCATATACTCACATGCATATGACATATCACATACCCACATATACACAAATACCTGTTTCCATACACTCTATCATTTACTTACACCCCCAACACCTCCCCACGCATACCCACTTACATACCCTTTAAGGCCACTACTTACGCGTGATGGTGAGGTTGGCAATGAACACCATAGGCGGGTGAGTTGACAGCTGGCACATGTATTCTCCTGCGTCTCGTTCTTGGGCGTAACGCAGGTGGAGTGTCCATTCCTGTGAAAAGGGGGAAAAAAAGGAAAGGAGTAAAGTACAGATTTGATAAAAGGGTAGAGTAAGAAAGTAAAAAAAAACGAAAGAAGTAAAGTATAGATTTGATAAAAGAGTAGAGTAAGAAAGTAAAAAAAAGAAAAGAAGTAAAGTATAGATTTGATAAAAGGGTAGAGTAAGAAAGTAAAGAAAAAGGGTGAAGTAAGGATTTAAAAAAAGGGTAGAGTAAGAAAGTAGAAAAAAAGGTGAAGTAAGGATTTAATAAAAGGGTAAAGTAAAAAAAAAGGTAAAAAGAAAGAATTGAAGTAAGGATTTGATAAAAGAGTAAGGTAAAAAGTAAAAAAAAAGGTAAAAAGAAAGAATTGAAGTAAGGATTTGATAAAAGAGTAAGGTAAAAAGTAAAAAAAAAGGAAGTAAAGTAAAAGTGCAGTAAATGAGTATAAAGAAAAATTAAGAATGAATTAAAGAATTAAAAAAAGAAGTAAAGTAAAAATGTAATGAAAGAGTAAAGTAAAAGAAACAAAAGGTAAAGTAAAGATGCAATAAAAGAATATAAAGAAGAAAAAGCAAAAATAAAGTAAAAAAAAAGAATAAATAAAGTATATAAAAAATGTAATAAAAGAGTAAAGTCAAGAAGTAAAAAAAAAACAGTATAGTAAAAATATTACAAAAAGTAAAAGAAAAGAGTAATGAAAAAGTAAATAAAAGTATAATAAAAGAGTAAAGTAAAAAAAAGTAGAGAAGAAATAAAGTAAAAATGTAATAAATAAGTAGACTGAGTATTAGAAAAAAATACATCTTTGTGTTTTGCTAAAATGATTGATCTGGAGTAACAGGGGATGTTTAGTATGTGACAATTGATAAGGAAAGTATTTTTTTTCGCTCATTTCTCTTCATATGAATAGCATACACATTTTTGTCATTTTTATTTATATCTCTAAATAAAAATACTATATGCTTTTGTCACATATGATAATACAAATACACATTCTTGATCCTTAACATTGATACAAATACATTTTTTTTTACACTGTATGATCGTTTTTTATTCTGACAACGTAACACCATAATTCAAAGGGTAACACAATAAAACTTACATTAAGGTGTCGATTGTACGTGACGGAGAACCGGTCGTCCTTACTGTACGTTTGTCGACCCACGGTGATGAGGTGATGATCTCTCATTCGGGTCCATGACACCTGTCATGAGTGTCACGCAATTAGCACCATGAATGTGACACGCTCTGTTAAAGCCTTGATCATATGTCAATCACGTTCTGTCAACATACAGCTGTTTAGCTTGAGAGCGTTCGTGTTTCAGATGTTGGAAAAAAGGGGAATAGAAGCATTGTCTGCTAATAGGATGGCATGCGTGGGCATCCACATGCAAAGAGACAAACACACACACACATACATACACTCACTTTATTAATACACTCACACACACACACAATATTTTTCTCTCTCTCTTTCTCAATCTCTCTCTCTCTCTCTCTCCCTCTCTCTCTCTCTCTCTCTCTCTCTCTCTCTCTCTCTCTCTCTCTCTCTCTCTCTCTCTCTCTCTCTCTCTCTCTCTCTCTCTCTCTCTCTCTCTCTCTCTCTCTCTCAATATCCTCCCCCACCCCTCTTTCTCTCTCTCTCTCTCTCCCTCAATCTCCTCCCCTCCCTCTCTCTCTCTCTCTCTCTCTCTCTCTCTCTCTCTCTCTCTCTCTCTCTCTCTCTCTCTCTCTCTCTCTCTCTCTCTCTCAATCTCCTCCCCCCACCCCTCTTTCTCTCTCTCTCTCTCTCCCTCAATCTCCTCCCCCCCCCTCTCTCTCTCTCTCTCTCTCTCTCAATCTCCTCCCCCCCTCTCTCTCGATCTCTCTCTCCCCACACACGCCCTCACCGTCTCATGGTCTGCACGATTCAAGATGACGCAAGGGATATTGGCTGTTGTCCCAGCCTGTGCTTCCACAATACTGCCATTTTCTCCTCTGCAACACGCAATAAATAGGATAAACAAAATGCTCTTTTCTCTTACTGTTGATCTATGGTTAGCTATATTTGTATATTAGCTATTATGACAATATACCCATTTATGTTTTTATCAAATTCATTTATATATTTGTTTAACTGTACATTTATTTGTTTAAACATTTCTAATAATTTATCTATCAATCTCGCTGGTACTTTTTCTATCTCATCTATCTATCAATCTATCCACCCATCTGTTGACGTTCCTAACTATTCCAACATCTCTGTCTGTGATTCTCCCCGTCCCTCCACCAAGAAAAGAGAAAGAGAAAATCAAGGAAAAGACAAAGGAAAACTCACTTGAAGTAAGCGTCCGTCTCCCTGATGGTCGGCTCTTCCTCCCAGAGTCCCACGAGGAGAGAAGGATTCTTGAGTCCTTCCGGATTCTCAGGGATGGCCGGGTCCCTGGTCGTGGTGTCTGGGTCCAGCAGGTCCAGTCTCGGGGCGGCCGTCCAGGTCCTCTGCTCGTAGTGGGCGGGGAACACCTCCTCCTCGGACCCGCGGGCGTTGAGGTAGTACGAGCCCCGCCCCCTGAGGTCCTCGTGCGAGGAGAAGGTGGAGGCGTTGGCCCTGGACCCCAAGGGCGACAGGGCTGCCAAGTACTTCCTGGCATCGTGGTTCTTGCCCATCTTGCGGAACTGGTGCGAGCCCGGGAACCTGAAGGAGGCGTGCGTCGCGGCGAGTCGGTGAGTCTCCTGGAAACCATTGTTGTAAACTGCAGGTGTGGGCATCATCCTGCGGAAGTTCTCATTCTGGGATCTCGACCGCGAGGCGTCACCTGCGAGTGAGAAAAACGCTTTTCAGACTTTCCTTTTCCTTTCCTCTTTGTTCCAGATGCAAACGCTGGAAATGTAGCAGACCGACATGGAAAGCGTGTTACTTCTCCTTTTAGCTGCAGTGACATTAGGAATATATTGTTGCATTTTAGTTCATATAAAAAAATACGCCATAATTTGCGAAAGTATCAGAATTTATGAACGAACACAAAGGCAACACGCAATAATACATGTATGATGCAAACATTATACATAATCTCTATTGCTTTGATACGAGATTTCACATCAAATATTCTCTAATACCGAAGTTTACTGTGCAGCTGTGCACGTAACTCTCGAACAAAGACATTACGTAAAACATAAAATATTGACTTACGTGAAGATAAAGCGTACAGTTTGGTTACTTAGTGCTTATTTATGTGTATGTATACTTAAGTAATGGGTCACTCTGAATGACAGAATATTATCATATATACTACATATAGAGTTTACACACACATACGAAGGAAAGAGAAAGAGAAAGAAAGAAAGAAAGAAAGAAAGGAAATATATATCGAGAGAGAGAGAGAGAGAAAGATAAGAGGGGGGGGGGGGGCAGACAGACAGACAGACAGACAGACAGAGAAACAGAAAGGGAGATAGCGTGTATGATAATTATGCATAATGATGGAAGCCGGAAGGAATCAGCCAAACTACTTCTAGCATTTCCTATTAGAGAGAGCGAGAAATAAATAATTGAATATATATTGGCAGCTTTGCAAGTATTTTGATAAACTGTAAGGTATTCGATGTAAAAAAATATAAAAGAAAACAATACAACAAAAAAATCCAAACAAACAAATTTAAAAAGAAATGCACACACACACACACACACACATACTCACACACACACACACACACATACTCACACACACACACACACTTACTAACACACACACACGCACACATACACACACATACTCTCTCTCTCACACACACACACACACACACACATACGCACACACACACACACACACACACACACACACACACACACACACACACACACACACACACACACATAATATATATATAGTATATATATATATATATATATGATTTATAGTATATATATAATATTATAGATTTAAGTTATCCGCCCATTTAGTCTATAGTTCAAGGGGAATACAAAAGGTTGTTAAAGGACAATTTGAAAGGACTGAACAAATTTAAAAGTTTCGAAAGACAGGACCCTTTTCTGTCTGGATGAATTTGTCACAGAAAACGGGATATCTTCTTTGTTGCCGCTTTGCGTTTTTCTCTATTTTTTCTTTTTCTGTTGTTTTTGTGTCACTTTTCCTATTTCTATCTTTATTGGTTTTTTTTCTTGTTCCTTTTTTATTTACATTTTCTTTCTCTCTTTTCTCATTCCTTCTCTCTATGTTTATAAAAAGTTAAATCACTTAAGATCTCAAGAAACGGTATTTTCCCCTTTACTAAGATCCAAACATTATATTTTCAGCCATAACTATCCCGTGTTTTTAGCTATAATCTGCTTACACTTTTGGTTCTCAGCATGTCGTAGTTTGTTTCTTTAAATTTCTTATTCTTTATCACTATTACGCCTTGATCACCATTCTGTATCTTAAGCCAATCAGCATTCCGTATTTTTTTGACGACCATTTTGTATTTTTATTTATTTATTTTTTTTAGCGATTACCATTTCGTATTTTTATCCGTCACTAATTCTTATTCTTTGACGATCATCATTCCGTATTCATGACCCTTAGTATTACGTGTAAAATTTTATTGCTCACCATTTCTTATTTTCGTCCACCATCAAACTATATTCATAACCACTGCTCTTACCAATACGTTAAAGAAAAAAGAAAAAAGAAAAAAGAAAAAGAAAAAGAAAAAGAAAAGAAAAGAAAAGAAAAGAAAAGAAAAGAAAAGAAAAGAAAAGAAAAGAAAAGAAAAGAAAAGAAAAGAAAAGAAAAGAAAAGAAAAGAAAAAGAAAAGAAAAAGAAAAAGAAAAAGAAAAAGAAAAAGAAAAAGAAAAAGAAAAAGAAAAAGAAAAAGAAAAAGAAAAAGAAAAAGAAAAAGAAAAAGAAAAAGAAAAAGAAAAAGAAAAAGAAAAAGAAAAAGAAAAAGAAAAAGAAAAGAAAAAGAAAAGAAAAAAAAAGAAAAGAAAAAGAAAAAGAAAAAGAAAAAGAAAAAGAAAAAGAAAAAGAAAAAGAAAAAGAAAAAGAATAAGAAAAATAAGAAAAACATAAAAACATAAAAGCAAACAAACAAACACACAAAAAACCGAATAGTAAAAAAACAAAAACAAAATACACCCATTCTTTTATTCCAATTCCTTGCCCCGCCTTTCTCCCTCTTCCCCTTTCCCTTTCCTCCCCTACCTTCATCACCGGACAGCCGCGGTTTTAATTCAGCTCATCCGTCGTAATCTCTGCCTCCGCCAAGTTCCTCCACCTTCCATTTTACTTCATCAGAACCCGCACCGGTATTGCGTCTTTGATGATGGGTTGAGGAACAGTACTCTATATCTGTTATCCCGTGATGTTCCAATCCCTCAACGTCTGTCGCGCTTAATCGTCTGGGTTTGTTCGCATAATCGAGGGATCATCGGAAAGGATTTTCTGTTTTTTTTTTTTTTTTTTTTTTTTTTTTTTTTTTTTTTTTTTTTTCGAAGAGAGGGAGGGAGGAAGGGAGGGAGGGAGGGAGGGAGGGAGGGAGAGGGAAGGAGAGGGAGGCACGGAGGCAGGGAGGGAGAGGGAGGGAGGGAGGGAGGCGGAGGGAGGGGGAGGGAAGGGGAGGGAAGGGGAGAGAGGGAGAGAGGGAGAGGGAGAGGGAGAGAGAGAGAGAGAGAGAGAGAGAGAGAGAGAGAGAGAGAGAGAGAGAGAGAGAGAGAGAGAGAGAGAGAGAGAGAGTGAGAGAGAGAGAGGAGTACTCGTTGATAGATAGATGTAAAGAGAGAGACACAGATAGATAGAAGAATAGGTAGGTAAAAAGATAGAGAGACAGAGAGATAAATGGAAAGACAGAGACATATAGATATAAAGAGAGGTAGATAGACAAACAGACAGAAAAAGAGGGAGAGAACAAAAGATACTAAAACAAACAGAGAGCGAGAAAGACAAAACTAGACTGACAAACAGACAGCAACCGACAGAAAGAGTTGCACCAAAGACAACATTAGTCAGAGTACATCACCAAGCCTTGCTCAGACTCTCATGCTTCTGCTAAAATCCTCCAAATGCGACTAATTAAAATATCTTCAGTCACCCTCGATCTGATTTTGAAATTAACGTTAAAGCTGATAAACTGTATCCAAGAAACCGGAGTCCCTGTTACAGTGACTGTGTCTGACTGTATTTACGTCGATGTTGTTAGGAGAAATTTAATTCGTAGATGTGTCAATAATCTGTTAGTTGAGAAAAAAAAGTCATTAATATTTGATGATAATCAGTTTGTTATTTGAATATAAAGTTCTTCGTGCTTTAAATAATCAATTTGTTATTTGAAATAACAAATGTATGAAATAATCCATTGCTTGTTTCAAAAAAAGATAAAGAATACTATCCTTATTTCCATTACAAATTCATTTATTCTTAGCTGTGCAATTATAATTTATCTCCGTTTCTGGCCATATCATGCTCCGCTCATTAAACTTTTTTTAATAGATAACTCTAAAAGTTCTGAGACAGATAAGATTTTACATATCCTTTCACTTAATTACTTTTAGAGACTATTCAGTTGACATCTTTCGTTCCAGTTTTTATTTTTTACAGCCATTCCAAGTTTTATACGAGCGATGAAAATCTCATGTGCACAGCTTAGTCAACTGGTGTCCCTGATAATCTATGAACAAGCTTAAACTTAAACATATATGTATATATATATATATATATATATATATATATATATATATATATATATATATATATATATATATGTGTGTGTGTGTGTGTGTGTGTGTGTGTGTGTGTGTGTGTGTGTGTGTGTGTGTGTATGTGTGTACACACACACACATTTATTTCTCTATCTATATGTCTATCTATCTATCCATCTGTTTAAATATATTCGTCTGTCTGTCTATCTATCTATATAACTATCTATTTGTTAAAACACATTTCTATATGTTAATCTATCTATCCATCTATTTAGATAGTCTATCTATCTATCTATTTTCACACACACACAAACAGACACACACACACACACACATATCTATCTGTCTATCTATCTATCTATCTACCTGTCATTCTACATGTATGTATTATAAACAAAATGACTAACATTAGTGATAACGATAATAATACAACAATACTTCTATTACTGCTAACAGTGATGAGGTAATATCATAAAGATACGAATAAAGAAGAAATTGATAACGAACCCAATATAAAAAACAATGACATCAGCAACAGTTCAAATAACAAGAAAAATCGCCCATACTCTTCAATAGTTCCTTTTTAGAAATTTGATCGAAATTGCATCATATGTAAATGTTCTTCTATTAGGCCTAAAAGGAACTATATCCTGTTTACATGTTCCAAATGTCCCAGTTGCATTTTTACGGAGTTTATTTAAATTTTACGTTTTGTTGGGCTACGTATGTGTTAGGACGGAAGTGTAGTTTATATGACTTTTAAAGAAGTATGTATTATCATAACGTAATATATATATATTTTTTGTTATGATTCTAGTTTCCTTATATAATGTAATTGTTAATTTGGTTTTCGGTGAAAACAGTTACGAGATTGTTCCTCTGCAGTTTTTTAAGACGTTTATGGAATAGATCTTTATGAGATATAACGTAATATTTTCTCATAAAATATAGTCACTTGGAACAAAATAGTTAAAGGTCAGCAATACCAAGGCACAATATTCATATAATATTGGCAAAACTTTCCTCTTTCAGGCACACACATGAGTAACGAAGGTTCCGGTGTGAAGGCTGTGCAACTTTGCATTATGAATGTCTGTTCTTATGTTTCGGATATTACGTCGT